ACACATCCAGGAAACCAATGACTGTTTCTATGACTCTATGTCATAGATGTTAAACTGCTGCAGTTTTACTGTTCAAACTATCATACATCCCATAAGACTGATGCTCAAAGTTGGTTATAGAGAAAATGAATGAAAACCAGACTTCCTGTTTTGACTGTGACACCTGGATGGATGTTAAACTGATCTGGTTTCAGTTTTTTACCAGAACTCAAATGTGTTTTTCATCCTAAAATGTCATGCGTCTATCTGCTGGACTGATGACTGAGGCTCAGAAATGATGGAAACAGTCCATTGAAGTGATAAATGTGGACCCTCCTCTATGGACTTCAAGTGCTTGTAAATCTGAAAATATTCTTAGTATGAAGGTAAAACTTTGCGACATTTAAATATAGTAAAGTGACTGTAGTTACGGAATCAGCAGATTCTGAGGAGGTCTGGGGGAGCCTTTTCAGATTTGGTTGATTTTATGTGGAATAATCCATTTGTGTAGCAACAGAACCTCTTTTTGTCAGAACTGTCAGGGTTTACTGAAGGAAATCTTGTTGTAAACAAAAGTGTTTCTCTGAAAAGTTCTGAGATATATTATAAAAGGATGCTCATCTTTTAGAATAAGTCCAATAAAACTCACTGCTGCACCTTTTTCTTTAAATTTTCCGTAGGTGCACTTTGTCAAGCCAGATTTACCAGTTTTACTGCAGCGACTGATTATCAACTTGGTGAATTATTCTCTGACATCCAGGATTATGCAGATAATGTGGAGCTTTGAACTGATTCCTCTGTGGTTTCGAGGAATGCCCCACCCACTGCACCATCTGATTGGTTACATGTCATGAATAATGGCCGATCTAAATTTAAAAGTTGAGTTATTTTTTTAATTAAACATGTAAAAATTTAATAAACCAATGCATTTCAGTGAAGTTTTGTGTCCTAGATTTTGCCGCCAAGATTTATTATTTTTGCTGCATATGTATGTCAGTTCTAAATATCAGTCATTGGTGTTCTTGGTTACTGATCATCTTTGTAGTTCACCCCATGTTGTGCAAGTTGTCGAACACTTTGTGGAGACGTTGCAAAGTTGTCCTAAATGATGTCACAACACATGGAATTAAACCGTTGTTGTCCCTGATGTTCATGTTGGGTCCCAACACTCTCACGTCGGGTTTTTTTCTGGCTGATATTGTGCAGTTTGAACCCGACTTCATGGCAATGTCGTAGAGCAATGGACTGAATTAATCTCTTTGTTTTTTTAGACCACGGACATCACAAACACGCTCACAATCACCACGGAGACCACAACCACTCCGACCACGGCGAGCGACCTGCCGGGGAGAACGGCAAAAACATTGCAACAGGTAAGACTGCAAGACTGTTTTCACTGGTGTTGAAGGATCATTCTGCTGTATTTCCACTAAATGTGTCTGTTGGAACTTTACGCTTTCCTTTGTAGAGATGCAGGAAAGCGAGGAGTCGAACAAATGACAGGATAAAAAGGGCAACAACCCAAAAAGCCTTTATCTTAAGTTGCATCAAGTGTCACTTTCTTGTTTAAATGAAAACATTTTGCTGCTTTTTTGCACAAATCTACTGTAGTACAAGCAAACACAAGGCTCATGTACAATCCTGATACAAGTGTGTAACATTTAATTCTGCCTGCTCTCTTGACCAAGAAATATTAACAAGCTGCTCTTACTCTGGTTAAACAGTGAACGTAATATCTGCCTTCACATGCACTCAGAGAACAAACAGTTTTATGAGTCATTTTTAAATTAACTCAATGCAGTAAACAAAGCAAAATTGTTAAAAAAAAAAATAATAATAGTAATTACTTGCCTGCATCAACTGGTGAACTGTGGTTTCTGAGGTTGGTTGTGAGTCGGTCTGTGGGGTTTGTGTCTTGCAGCGTGGGTTGGCGGCTTCCTCTCCATCACCATCATCAGTCTGCTGTCGCTACTGGGCGTCGTCCTCATCCCGCTCATGAACAGAGTTTTCTTCAAGTTCCTCCTCAGCTTCCTGGTGGCGCTGGCGGTGGGAACGCTGAGCGGCGACGCCTTCCTGCACCTCATCCCCCACGTGAGTCACCGCAGAGCTCGGCCAGCAGTCGCCGTTTTAGCAGCGACATGTCAAACAACGTCTGCTGCTCGTGTTTTCAGTCCAGTTCGACCAAGTTCAAAGTGATTTAGGGATGTTTAAGACCAAGTCTGATTGATGTCAACTCTCTGAATGCTCCCAGAAATCCCCAAGGCAGAAGCTGTCACCAAAAAGACACTGTTTATAGCCCAAAAATGATAAACATTTTGTTTTTATCTTTGCAGTCGTCCATTAACTAATCATTTTTGATGTGCAATTCAATCAGAAAAAAAATCCCCTAAAATAAGACTACAATTATTAAATCACTTTAGTTTACATGTCTCTTTTGAAAAAAAAAAACACATCTGCATTAGATTCTGTAAAAATAAAAACATTTTTGCTCGTCAGTGCAACCTTAACTCAGCTGCATCCAACAGATAAATGACAAAAAATAAGCATAAAATTGTGAATATTTGATCAACCATTTGCATCCGATCCTGTAAAAACACTAAAATTCTGCACTCTTCAGCACCACTGATTCTCCGTGACTGACTCACCTGCGACCAACAGTCAAAAATGTGAAAAGTAAAACATACTGGGTCAATAAATTAAATTCAGCATGGCTCAGAAACAGTGAACAGAGGAGCAAGTTGTTTAAGCATGGTGAAACATCTTTGTAGGACTCTGATGCACAGCGCTGCCTGATAACTGCTGAGGTACAGAGCAGCAGAGCGGTAGCAGCCACAATGGACGATCCTGTGAGCCTGAGCTCAGGACACAAAAACCCTGATTTTCAGATACTCTTCAGTTTCAGATTCTCTCACGGCAGAAGTGTAGCAAAAGCCGTCGCCGCCACACTTTGAGAAACACTGACTGCATAGAGGATGGCTGTAATCCAGATTGTCTGGCAGGCCAGCGTCATCTTTTTCGTCACGTCTTTACTCGTCAGTTGATAATGAACAGAGATTTCGTTATAGTTTTTGTTGTCAGTACTTCTTAAATTTACATTCTCGTCACAAATTAACCACAGAAAGGTAGGTCTTCAACAAAAACTTTTTATTTTAAGTTTTCGTTGAGAAAATTATCACTGCCCCTGGGTCGGACGCGCCCTCCCTGGCTTCGCACCTATTTGAGAAGCACTGCCATAGAGGTACAGGACTTTATATTGCAGTGAAAAATGAGCCCACAGTGAGGAAAAACAAGACAGGAGGTAAAAATGCCCAGATTCAGAGGGTTGACGCACAATATGTGGTCTTGAAATGCAGCTTCTGTCATTGTAGAGTCAATTTAAAGTCCTTTAAACTTGGACATTTTATGATAGTTTTCTCACACTGTTGAACCACAACGTGTAACTTTTAGACTTCCTGTTCGGTTTAAACTGCCGAGCTGTAACTTGTTAATCAGCGAGCTTCAGAGCCAGGCTGTTTAAAGTCTTTATGCTAAGCTAAGCTCATATTTTCTCGTCCCCCGTCAGTCTCAGGGAGGCCACCATCACCACCACGAGGACGAAGGAATGAACATGGATGGACATCACCTCCATGATGAGCAAGAGGAAAACCTGGACGCGGTGTGGAAAGGCCTGACGGCGCTCAGCGGAGTCTACGTCATGTTTCTCATCGAGCACTTCCTGACGCTGGGAAAAATGTACAAGGACAAGAAGCAAAAGGTCAGAGACTGATCGGTTTCTTGAAGCCGTTCGGGTCATCAAAACAGATGAAGTGTTCAGAATGGCATGTTATAGCACAAAAACACACCTGATCTATAAAACTGAAACTAATGAAAACACTGCTAAAAACACTTTCCCAGAATGCTAGCATGGAAACAGGAGTTTTAATGTGGATGTGCTGTTGCTGTTGTTGTTGATGGGGTTGTATGAAATGTGTTGTCAGATACAGAAGAAGTGGGATCAGAACGACAAAGCAGACCCAGAAAAGCAGCCGGCTCTGGAGGAAAACGACATGAAGCCAAGTGAAGGTGACCAGTTATGTCCTGATACCGGGTTATGTCGGATACCGGGTTAGTGGATAATACAGACTTCAACTGCTGTAGATTAGCAGTAGTACCTTGTTGTTCCACCAGGTGGAGCCTCTTACTGCTTAATACTGCAGAGACCAGAGGATGCCTCACACATACCCCTTTTCCACCAAGCTGGTTCCAGTGCTAATTCCGAGCCAGAGCCTGGCTTAGCACCAGTTCTTTGTGTTTCCACCACCTAAGCTCCGGCTCCAGGCTCCAGGCAGTTCATTTTGGCAAATAGAGAGCATTGTGGGAGTTTAGTGAGTAAAGGGGCACCATGACAAAGACTTCTGTGGTGATAAATGACTTTGGACCACAGTTCCTCTATCAAAGATGAGCTGGTGTCTACTACTACAGTGATATAATGTAACTTAGCTGCTTTTGCATGTCGTGTTCTTTGATGTAAACAGTATTATGGAGAGGAGTTCACATTGTTTAGTTACTGTTCTCTTTCAGTGGATTCTTGAAGTTAGTTTCATTATCTCAATTGTCTGCAGATGTGGAGACTAACGGTGCCGGTACGTTCGGCGACCACTCGAGCAGCCTGCACGGCGGCAGTGTGGCGGAGGAGGAGCAGGTGATGTTGGCGCCGCAGGTGTCCGTCGTGTCGCCGCAGGGTTACGGCCGAGCGTCAGGCGCCGCCGCCTACACCGCCGAGGACTGCGAGAACAAATGCCACTCCCACTTCCACGACACGGTGGGCCAGGCCGACAGCATGCACCACCACCACCACGACTACCACCACATCCTGCACCACCACCACTCCCAGAACCACCACCCGCACAGCCACTCCCACTCCTACTCGGAGCAGCACTTCCAGCAGGCCGGCGTGGCCACGCTCGCCTGGATGGTCATCATGGGAGACGGACTGCACAACTTCAGCGACGGCCTCGCGATTGGTGAGTAGCGGCTGTTGTTGGAACTCAGTCTCCATAGAATTGCATTCCTGTACAACTAAACTGCATTCTCAGATACGTTGTGCGGATTTTCATTTGCCTTTCATTTTACTGCTTTACTGTCGCTCCTTTTTAGCCAACCAATCTTTTATTAGATGGGGCGGGGCTTGTCACCCTGGTAACCTAGACAATGGAGGATAAGCTTCAAATGTGTAGTGAAAGGGTTGTTTTCTAACCCAAACTATGATATTTTTCCAACTGTAAGCAGGTAATATTGGTGGCTCACTTAAACCAAGCTTGTAAAGAAAGTGTCTAACAAAGTGTGATATTTTCCTGAACCGAACCAGAAAGCCAGTGAAACCAAAAGTAAATGACAGAAAATGAAAATTAAATCTTCGACAAATGGCATCTCACCCATCCTGGGACGTGAACCCTGGGTTTCTTGTACTGACACAGTGCACTTGATACAGCCGCTGAATGTAGCCTACCCAAAATATATAAACTGCCTGTCATGTTTTTTTATTTTATTAATTTTCAGATTTGCATCGATATTAAATGCCCTAATGCTAATGTTCGCAGGCAGTAGCATGTGAGAGTAAGATCTGCAAATAATCTGCAGCCGCAAAAGGGATCGTACAAAGACGTAGGAACAACAGTAGAAAAATAAAAAATAAACAAGAAAAGTACATAGGTATGGCTGAATATTGCACAGATTCCTCTGAATGTGGACCATGACAATGTTGCACAGAATTAATATGTATGATTAAATAATGCTGTTATTGCACAGATTTTTGTACATGGAGAGGAAGACTGATATTGTGCACAGTCTTTCAAAGGTACAAAATAGTCATCGCACACAGGTTTGGTTGCCTTGTTTGCTTTATGTTGCTGCAGAGTTTCTTGTTTGTAGTTTCAGCATCTTGATGAGCACATGTTGGCTTGTTAATGTAACCATGATGATATTTCTGTGTGTACAGCAACATGTAAAATGCACATTTGTATGCTCACGATAAACATGCTAGTGATTGCATGTAGCAGCAGTGCAGCAGGTGGTTTTTAATATTTCAACGTGTGTTTTTGCAGGTGCTGCCTTCACTGAGGGTCTGTCCAGTGGACTCAGTACATCTGTGGCTGTTTTCTGCCACGAGCTGCCTCATGAGTTGGGTACGACCTTCGATATTCTTTCAGGCTCTCAGTGGTGGATTTTTCCAGAAGCCTTTCCATTTCTAGCTTTTTAGCGAGGTTCCTTTTTGTTTTTTCTCTCTCTCTATGATAAGATAGAGCTTCAAGTTTAGAAACTAGAGTTCAACTATGAAACCTAAACCAGGACATTGTGTTTCGCTGCAAGGTTATAGGACTTTCACATGTTGTATCGCTGCTCTGCATCATTCATTAACTCAGTTCTGACTCAGTTTGCTGCAAAGGAAAAAAGCATCTGCTCGTTGCTGCAGCAGATAACGTTACACTGCAAAAAAGGGTAGCCCAAATAAAATATATAAACACTAAATCTGAGAAGAAAATGACTTAAAACTAGTGAAATTATCTGTCCATGCAGCAAGTAAATTTTACTTGATAAGAAATCTTGAAATAAGATTTTTAAATCTAGAAATAATTGTCCCAGGTCAGTATCCAAAAAGCTTAAAATAAGCTGAAATTGCTGATTTTCAGGTCAAAATACTTGAAATCAAACTTGATATTGTCCAATAATAAGTGAAAAATACTAAATATAAGCAAATAATTCTTGTTTTTGTTTTTTATTTTCTTATTTGTAGCAAATCAATATCAGCCCTGCTGATGAGCATTGGTCATCAGCAAAAAATGTTTCTGTCAGTTTATCTGTTGTCCATCCATCCATTATCTCTACACCTTAATCCTCACTATCCCAGTCTATCCCAGCTGACTCAGGGTGAAGGCAGGGGACACCCTGGACAGGTCACCAGTCTATCACAGGGCTACACTTAGAGACAGACAACCAAGCACACTCACATTCACACCTACAGACAATTTAGAATCACCAATTAACCTCAACATGTTTTTGGAGACTCCACGTTGAAACCGGTGACCTTCTTGCTGCAATGCAACAGTGCTACCAACTGTTCCACCTTGCAGCCCAGTTTAACTGTTGTGCTGGCATGCAGCATAGCAATAGCTGATTGTCAAAAAAGAGTTCTACCTGCTTGTCACTCACTGACATAGTACAGTAAATAAAATATCGTAGTTCATGTGAAAAACAAATACCAAAAATTAAAAAGAGGACATGGAATAAATACAGAATCAGCTGACTAAATATTTTAAGCCTGTGGCAACTACTGAAAATGTGTAATTCTATCATGAGTTGTGGGCAAGCTTGTATAGTTTCACTTTTATGTTGTTTGGCTATCTTTGACTTCAGAGTCGTTCAAATACATTGTATTTTGAACAGATGCCTTTTGTATCATTCTTAATTCAAGCAACTTGACTTGTTACTGAATCTTGAAACAAGCTTGGTGAAAGATAGTTTTGGTGAAACAACTAATTTTGCTCATTTTAACATCTCTTCATTCAGTTTTAAGATTCCCACACGAACAGAGACAATAAATGAAATGAAATGAATGAAATGAAAAATACTTTATTCATTCCAGAAGGGAAATTCAATTAAGATAATAAATATAAATAAAAATTGAATAAAGATGTGTTCATGCTCAATTTGAGATTGTACTGTAAAATCAAGGACTAAAAATGAGTAAACAACAAACAAGCCAAATTATCTATCGTGTCTAAAAATAAGATTTTAAATCTTGGCAAGTCCCAGATTATTTGCAGTGTAGCTGAAGGCAAAGTACAATGCAGCATTGGGCTTCATGCTTGCTTTTCCCCCACATGTGCTCCCTAATTTAGGGCAGTATGCAGAACTTTAGAGGCTCAGTAAATATACATCAAATAATGTGTTTTTCTTGAAACCTTCTGTCACGTTTTTCTTCACTGTGGCTCATTTTTCACTGCAATACAAAGTCCCGCACCTCCTATAAAACAGAACAACCATGAAGAAGGAGAGAGAACTCAGAAATGTCTTCCGTCCCTATTTTACAGAATTTTAAAATGTGTTGCCAACGCTTGAAAAAAGTGTTGGCTCCACATGGTGAGGATATTGAACTCTTACATTTTTAAATCTACAAACGTTTTCTCTCACATCAGCTGTAGAAACATGTTTCACCATTCTGGATGTATCTTCCAACAACTTGCTCCTGTGTTCGCTGATCCAGTATGTTTGATTTACCTCGCGGTCTCTCTGGTTTTGCTTTCACACTTTTGGAACTTTCTTTAAAAAAGAAAAAAAAACAAAAGAAATGACACAATTTTTAATTATATGGAACCATGACTAATGAGAGACTAATGAGATTAAACAGAATATGGATGAAGGTTTACAGAAAGCAATTGTTAGATGCAAAACCTCATTCACTTGGAAATGGATCTAAAACTGAGCATTTTTTCAGCATTTATCGTGTTATTTACGTGACAGTGTTTCCACAGCTTCATTATAAATCACTGAGTAAATTCATATCAGTAAAATGTCTGAGTTAGTGTTTCTTGTTTCTTCCAGGTGACTTTGCGGTGCTTCTGAAGGCCGGTATGACGGTGCGTCAGGCCATTCTTTACAACGTGTTGTCGGCCATGATGGCCTACTTGGGCATGGTGACGGGCATTTTGATCGGACATTACGCTGAAAACATCTCCATGTGGATATTCGCCCTCACAGCCGGGCTCTTCATGTACGTGGCGCTGGTGGACATGGTGAGTCGACTTTTCATTCCAGCTCTTAAACACAACCAGTCGCTCATCTGTCACCTTCAATCTGATGCAGTTCATCTGAACAGCACGATTTACAATTTAGGGACAAGTGTTAAGTGTAGGAGGAAAAACTGACGGTAATTATCATGATTCAGACACAAAATATCTGAATCAGTCTGAGTTGAAGTTTGTATATTAATAATTTCAACCTTAGTGGCTGTTTAACCTTCTGAACCTGAAGTATTTCGAAGTTTTGCTCCTGTCACATTTTCCTCACTGAAGGAGAGAGAACTGAGAAAAATTCAAGAAACTTCATTTTAAAAGATTTACAGAATCTGGTGCAAACGGTTCAATTTCAACAAAATGTGAAATGAGACATGTTGAATGAAGTGATTTTGATGAATATGAACATTTTAAGCATGGATTTACTAAAGTTTTCTGAAGAAACAGTGTGTTACAAATGAGAAGTTCAAGTACCGTTGGAAAGTTGAAAATCAGATCATTCTTTCTGTCTTAACTGTTAGATGTGCTTTTTTGCACTCAACATGGCCACATATAGGAAGGTGGTGGAATCATTGGGTAAATATGACTCAACCTGAAAGTTACTCTGAAGTCCTGACTGAGTTGGAGCTGCTGTGGTTTGGACTTATTTCTGCACATCTCTGTATCGCTGATGGTAGCTTGTAGTATTAGTAGCAACATTTGCACAGTTGTCTCTGTTCTGTTCTTTGTGAACACTTCCAGCGCTTCAGGCAAACAGTCCCTGAATGTTTCTAATGTCGGTCGCAGCTGAGTCAATCATAGCTTCACGGTTGTGCTGAAGAACGCAGAATTTTTTATTTGATTTTATTTCTTTTACAAAATCTGGTCAGAATAAGTGATTGTGATGAAATATCATGATTGTGGACTTAGATTTTGTTACAATTTTTGGCAGAATAATAAATGATAAATGAGACATTCAAGGAACATCAGAAAGTTCACTATCCGATGACTCTGTCTGGTTAATGAGGTCAGCGCTCTGGTCCAGTCAGCAGCAGCTGTTCGGCTTTGACCTACAGTCGGCCTTCAGCAGCAGATGGCTTCTTCTCGCAAACCTTGTCTGAATGACAGGTTTATTAAAAACAGGAGAGCTGAGCCGTCACAGTCAGCTGCTTCCTGGAAATACAGCAGAGCCTCGGCTGAGCGATGCTGTCCTCCTGTGGCCGCCGTCCTGCACTGCACTCTGAAAACAGACTCGATAAATCCTGTTAGTCCAGCCGGCAGTGGGATGGGTTTACTGCACAGTCGAGTTAAGCAGCAGTGGATTTCATCAGACGTTTAAATAGCTTCAGTAACCCGATAATGGCTTAGCAGGGCGCCTGCATCTAAATGCACTGAGATGTCTTTTAAATAAAAAGTGCTTTATAAATA